TTTTTGAGTATATTACTGTAGCTTTTTTTTTTTTTCTGGTACCAGGGATCAAACTCGGGGCCTTGCACTTGCAAGGTAGGTACAGCACCACTGAGCTAAATCCCTGGCCCCATTAATGTAGCTTTTAATTTAAATTGTCTTACGATTTTTTAAACTGCATTTTACCCAACACTTCCTAGCTATTCCAGGACTAATTTTATTTTAGTTTACAAAGGTCCTTTCCCTTTTTTTGCAGTACTGGGGATTGAATTGAGAGTCTTTGCACTCAGCTATATCCTGGCCTCTTAAAATAATAATTTTATTTTGAGACAGGGTCTTGGTAAGTTACCCAGGCTGGGCTCGAACTTGTGATTCTCCTGCCTCAACTTCCCAGAGTGCCAGGTATGCACCACCATGGCTTATTTTCTAAAGGGCTTATAGGTCCCTTTATAGACCCAAGATGGCTGCCTGGAGGCTGAGGCATGAAAGCATGGTTGTGGTCCTGTCAGCAATCATCTTTCCTCCTCATTTTGGCTAGTACCAATATTCTGAGTTGGCTGACGGCTGCAGGACCAGTCTAAGAGAGAGTAGGTCTGTTCTGAGCATATACTGGATTGTCTTTTGCTGTTGCTCTTGCACAATGACACTATATATAATTGCAGGGTTTTTATCTAGTAGTGGACTTCACATGGATAGGTGAGATCCATGAACTGTGAAATTAAAAAATCAAAACTGCACAGTGCTATTGTTTGCTTGCCTAACACATCTCCCCCCATCAAAAGAAGACGGGGGACATAGAGATAATGGTGGAGGCAGTTAAATCTTTCTTTCTCTGATATTGTTATTTTTTAACTGAAACTGCCGTAAATGACAGGAGAGCTTGTGATTCCTGGAGAGTGATGGATTCTGACAGGAGAGACCCTACCAGTTCATGTGACTGACCTCTTTTAGAAGAGAACCCAAGTGTGAAAGGCTCTTGGTAGATAGTGTACAGATGCACTGTTTGCGTAGTGTTGTTAAATATTTTCATTCAATATTTTATTGCTCAGGAAGAGAAAATAAAGTGTGTTCTTTCTTATTTTTTCACCTACTTTTCCTTTTGTACTAAGATATGTACCAATACTTTTAATTTGTTTGAGTGAGATTTTCATGTCTCTCTGGCTGGCATTGGCTCAAGTTTTATGTCAGTGTTACTTAGGTAAGTGGATAGTTTTATGCCACGTATCAGTAACCTCATATATTTAAAGAAAAGGTCCAGGGCTCAACACCATTTTTCTTTGTTGTTTTTGTTTTGGTTTTTTGGTACCAGGGATCGAACTTGGGTCCTTGCACTTGTGAGGCAGGTGGCGGAACCACTGAGCTAAATCCCTGGCCCCTTCAACACCATTTTAACTGCATATTGTAAAACACACACACGCACAGGTCTATGAAATAAAAGGCAGCCTTTCTGCTTGAAGGCTCCCTCCACTTTTCCCCTCCTCCCTTTGTTCTTATTCCCCTCCCCTCCTCCTCCTCCCTTCCAGTTCCATATTGAAAAACTGCTTCTGCTGGATGGATAATTAACATGGTACTATGGAGCAACAGGTCCCACTGGTAGTGACTAAATCTGAAGTAAATGCTAATGTTGTGCAGATTCACATGTATTAATAGGCAAGGGAGATGAGTGAGGTTAGACACAGATCAACCACACTTACGTGGGACTTGAAATAGATCCTTTTAATTAGGGAGCCAAGAACCGTGACAATTACCAATATCTTCCACTTGTAGTGGTGAGCTGCAGCCCTATTAGTGAATGAAAGAGACATGCTAAATTGAAATTGGTCTCCATCCTTTGACTGTAAGTTGGGATCATCTGGCTCTAGGCTTTGAATCTTTGACATAGAGAGGTCTGTCAGTGCAGGCATTACAGTGAGCTGTGGAGTGTGTTTATAGTTTTCTCCATATGACTCAAGAAATAGACTAGTCTACAAGTAAACTCCTTTCTGAGAAGTAGAGATAGCCCAATTGGATTTGTTTATGGGAATCAGGATACGTTGCAGTCATGCTGCTGAGGCTAGCTTTAGGAAGTTTTAGTTTTAAAATTTTCTTAATATTCTGGGGAGGGCAGAGCGAGTGTGGTTGCACCAACACCAGTACTTAGCCACGGAGTAGCGTGTCTTTGGGCTAGAGAGCGGAACATCTGGCTTCTGAGCTGGGACCTTCTCTGTGGTAACAAGGAAAGAACGATGAGCATCAGATGTGGAAGCCACAGCAGATTTAAAAATGGGTGATTTTTTTTTTTTTTGGTACCGGGGATTGAACTCGGGACCTTGCGCTTGCAAGGCAGGCGCCGGAACCACTGAGCTAAATCCTCAGCTAAAAATGGGTGATGTTGAGAAAGGCAAGATTTTTGTACAGAAGTGTGCCCAGTGCCACACTGTGGAAAAGGGAGGCAAGCACAAGACTGGCCCAAATCTCCATGGTCTGTTTGGGCGGAAGACAGCCCAAGCTGTTGGATTCTCTTACACAGATGCCAACAAGAACAAAGGCATCACCTGGGGAGAGGATACATTGATGGAGTACTTGAGGAATCCCAAGAAGTACATCCCTGGAACAAAAATGATCTTCAGGGGCATTAAGAAGGGAGAAAGAGCAGACTTAATAGCTTACCTCAAAAAAGCTACTAATGAGTAATAGTCACTGCCTTATTTATTACAGAACAGAAATGTCTCATGGCTTTTTTATGTGTACCATAATTTAATATCTCATACACCAAAATTCAGATCATGAGTGGCTGACAGAATATTTTTGTTGGACAGTCCTGATTTAAGTAAAATTGGCTTATAGTTAAATGGATATCTTTTTTTTCAAGTTTTGATAGTAATTCCAGTTCAGTAAATACTGTCACTGTTTGCCCTTTCTAAATATATGGTTGGACTTGATAAGTAATGTTTGACTTTTCACAAACATGGAGAATGTTATCTCAAAACCTACTGAAGATTGGCTTTACATTTAGATTTATATAACTGGTTATGTGAATATGTTTAAATACCAGGGAAATCCTTCACTGTCTCAGAATCAAGCAAGGCTCCTGTTTCAATTTGTTTATTAGCCTGTTAAAGGCAGTGGTTGAAGATAAGGAAGGAGTGTTTATATTTTTGATCTTGACTATGCCAATTTAATTAGAATTCCCTGTATCTAAAAACGGCTGCCTTTTACTTACTGAAAGGCATTTTAGTATAGTGTATGTATAATACTAGATAAAGAATATTTAACACTTCTCACATTTTATAGTTGACCTATAAGTTCAGATCCTTTTAGAAGTCAACATGATGCAATAGCAAGTTAGATTTTATTTTTGAATTCTTTAATTTGGACTAAGTTATTATTCAGGAAAGTATTTAAACAGCTATTTAAAAACACAAGATTGAAACTGCTGTTGTATGTATAATTGGTAGTGGACCTTTTTGTCAGCTCATTAGAAGGATTAAAGTGAGGAAGGTACAACAACAGCACAGATTTGTATGTGACCATAATACTTAATTTAAAACAATCAGATTGAAAAAAATATATATTCTTCATCAGTCCCCCACCCCCTGCACTAACCTATATCCCCAGCGTGGCAGTTCTTTTTATTTTGAGATAAGGACTCCCTAAATTGTCCATGTTGGTCTCAAAACTCCTGTTTCAGCCTCCCAGGGTTCTAGGATTATAGCATTATAGCCATACCTGGCTTTGACCAGATTCCTAGTTGGTCTGTGGGTAGATAGCATTAAGTTTGTAGGCCCTCTCTGGCCTCACAGAAAGCCACACAAAACTGACAAGCATATCCTTCAATTGTATGTACAATCTCTGAGGATTCTGAGCTTTATTATTATGAACTATATTATAGCTAACAGAATGTCTTTAAGACCTCAGGTAGTGGTTAAAATAAATAGTGAGTTGGAAAGCAGTGAACAGTTCCTTTCTGGCCAAGAATTGCAGACCAGGGCTTTTTAACAAATGACCTGGAAAGAAACTTAACCACACCAGTGAAGATATTCTGCAGGAGCTCCATCCTCACAGGGCACTCTATTCTCTGTAGAGAAAAGTGCCTGTCTTACTATATTGCAGGCTATAATTCTTTTGAAGCCAGAAGATAGAGGACCTTGACGTGATGGCTAAAAAACTACCAGTTTTCCAAGATAAGCCAATTCAGATACCAAGAAAACTATTCCAAGATCTAGCTTCCCAGGATATAGACAAAGCAAAGCTAAAGGTTTAAGCACTACTTACTATCCCCTAGATTGACTTAAATATACATTCCAGGAAAAATGTTCCCATTCCCAGAATATTCTCTTTATCGCATAGTATATCAAAATGCAGAATTAAGCCAGATACGATGATAATGTGTGTAAACCCTGACACTTAGAAGGCTGAGGCAGGAGGATTGAAAGTTCAAGCCCACCTGGGCAACTTAGTGAGATCCTGTCTCAAAATAAAAAGGGCTGGGGGTGTGTCTCGGTGATAGACTGTTTACCTAATGTGCACTAAGCCCTGGATTCAATACCAATCCTGCAAATTAAAAAAAATAGCTGTAATAAACTCACTTCTGAAACTGGCTTTCTCCTACACCCCATAAATGACATTCTTAACTTCCCTGTCATTGGCGCTGGGGATGGAGCTCAGTGATAGAGCACTTCCTACCATGCATGAAGCTCCAAAAAAAATTAAAAGCAACAATTTCCCTGTTTTTAAAAGATCGCTGGTTGAATTACTGTTTGCCGAATAGCTCTGAGATACAAAAAGAGAATAGAGGGCCAGGAATCTAGCTCAGTGGTTCCAGCACCTGCCTTGCAAGCGCAAGGACCCGAGTTTGATCCCTGATACCAAAAAACAAAAAGAATAGAGGAAAGACCATCATCGCCTTAAGATGCCAAATGACCTATATGGGTCTATATGGCAAGAATAAATTTGTAGTTGATTATATATGATCTCATTAATAAGTGCCCTTTTCACTTTGTCTCTATCCTATGATTCCTGAAAACAAGGACTGGGTCTGAAATCCCAGCACTTAGCACATTGCCTAGCATAAAATAAGTTTCCAGGAAATGTTTAGTGGATGATGACTTTTGGTTCTCTCTCCAAGGCAATGTTTTTGATGAAGTAGAAGATCATTTGTTTGCTTTGTGTTCGTCCTCCAGTGTGGTACCTAGCAGATTGGTTGGTAAGCAGTGGGAACTCAATAAATACTGTGTTGACTAATACAGAAGGAAATGCTCTGGCTTGAGGTTAATGAAGGTACCCTGCTCAGTATTCCACTGTGTTCCCCAGAAATAAAGGAACTACTAAAGGTTCTTTAAAAAGAGCTTGGTCTTGGGCCAGGGATTTAGCTCAGTGGTGCCGCTGCCTGCCTCGCAAGCACAAGGTCCTGAGTTTGATCCTCAGTACCAAAAAAAATAAAAAAATAAAAAGAGCTTGGTCTCAAGATTTGAAAGAACCATTGCACACACTTGTAATCCCCGCACTCAGGAGAATACCCATGCATTTCAGGCCAGCCTGAACTACATAGTGAGACTGTTTCCAGAACCAGAAGATACTGACTTGGGTTCCAATTCTACTTCTTACCGGCTCCATGGATTTAGATAAGTCAGTTTCCTTACCTACATGATGGGAATAAGAACTAATTATATGACAGTGTGGTAGTGAATATCAAATAAGAGCATCTGTTAAAATGCTTTGTGAACTATAGTACACTTGTAAGATGAAGTGATCACTGCTATTTCTAGGTTTTAGTGATTAGGAAGTATATTGTCTTTACAGGCATGCTGGTTCATTATAGTGTTTTCATGGTTTTGACTGCTGAACAGCCAAGACTGATAGAATAAGGTCAGCACTTCCTAACTTTTAACTTGTAGTGATTTCCTTTCATAAAGGATGGGCTCTGTTGCCCTGTTTTCATTGATATATGGGGATGAAAAGGAGCTGGGGCAGAACCTTGGTTTTTTTGTGTGATTTTGTTTTGTTTTTGCAGTACTGGGATTGAACACAGGGCATTTACAATGAACTACATCCTCAACCTTTTTCTTTCTTTCTTTTTTTTTGAGACAGGGTCTCACTTAAATTGCCAAGTTGCCCAGGCTGGACTTGAACTTGTGATCATCGTTCCTCAGCCTCCCAGAATGCTAGGATTACACCACACCCAGCTAGAACCTTGTTTTTCTCGACAGGCATATTGTTATTTAAAGGCACTAGCATGTATGTAATTGTTTGAGAGTTGCACACTAAGATTATGGGAGCACCATTCTTAGAAGGAGCTTTGAGATGAATGGGTACTGATGTGGAGAAGTCTTCACAGTGACCAGGACATGAGCACACTTGAGACTGCACAGTAGCCTTCCTCCTAGAATCTTTTCCCTATGAGCAGTACTTCTGATATGAAACAGCCCCTTTTGTAATTGGTCCTGGAGCCTACACCAGTGAGAGTCTGTCTTCTGAAGTGATTTCATGAATTCTTTTCCTCCAGAAGTTTGAGCTGAAAGATGCCTTCTGAAAATCTTAAAAGGAATCTTAAAAGGAATTGCTTAGAGCAGACCCTGTCTCAAACTAAGAAGTAAAAAACAAGGACTTGAGGGTATAGCTCAATGATAGGGTACCTGTGGATTTGGTCCCCCATACCACAAAAATACTAAAAAATTTTAAAAATGTAAAAAGCTGAGCATGCCTATAACCCTACTACTCAGGAGCCTGAGGTAGGAGGATCCCAAGTTCAAGGATGGCCTGGGCACTTTAGCAAGTCCTTATCTCAGGATTAAATTTTTATCTTTTTTTTTGTTGGTACTGGGGATCAAACTCAGGACCTTGGGCTTGCCAGGCAGGTGCAGCGCCACTGAGCTATACCCCCGGCCCAGAATTAAATTTTTAGAAGGGCCAGGAATGTAAACTAATAGTAGAACACTTACAGAATATGTGCAAGGCCCTGGGTTCAATCCCTAACATCACAAAGTCCCCCCTCCCCCCCCTCAAAAAAAAAACTCCTTTAAGAATATACAAGGAGCTATTTTTGTAACCTTTTTTGTGGGGGCAGATACGGGGGATCAAACTTGGAACCTTGTTCTTGCAAGGCAGGCAGCAGCCCCACTGAGCTAAATCCCTGGCCCAACAAGGAGCTATTTTTGAGAGCTGCTTAACACAAGTTTTAAGGATTTTTCCCCCCTGTGTTAAGAAAGAGAAGCAAGATTTAAAATCAAATTGTTTGAAAAAGATTAATACTGGTGATGTAGCTCAGTGGTAAAGCAGTTGCCTAGCATATGTGAGGTTCTAGGTTCAATTCCAGAAAAGAAAAGAGAGGGGAGGGTATTCGTAGGGGTGAGATACCTAGAATGGAGTTCAGTTTGCAAATATGGACTTTGACTCCCATGTCTTCTCATTGTTTTGTGACTTAGAAAACCAATAATTTCATGTGTGATTTAACCACCAAAACAATTACTGCCTCATGACTTTAGAGGAATTAACTCACTTCCTAGAAACCTCTTACAGATTTCACAGTTCTTTAAAGCTTTAGTCAGTATTTACTATGTGGTAGGCATTGTACAGGATGTGGAGGTACAGATAAATGAAGCACAGAAAAGGTGATTCAGGTTTGACTGACATGAAAGTGCTAAGAGAAATCAAGATTGTCAGAGAAAGCTTTCTGGAGAGAATACCTGACTTGAGTCACAAAAGATAAGGATTTCTCCAGGTAGAGGAATGAGGGAATGGCTTGTGTCATGGCACTGGAATAAGTAG